TGGTTTCATGCTTGTTGACACTCCTCAGTCAACAAGGCTTATCCGCAATCGTGAAGGAACTCATGTCCCTTCTGAGATTCGAGTACCCACTAGCAAGAAACCTAGGCCAAGCAAAGCTTCCTGCTGATTGCCTCCAAACCATTTAGTATCGACATTTCAAAGTACACCTACTGTGATGGCGAACCACCTAGAATGGTAGCCACATAACAAACTTGATTGACGATAGAATTCAGCCCGCACCAAAGATAAGAAGGACTAGACACATAACACTAGTTACCGGCTGGTGTCCAACCAAAAGACTGAAGATATTTTATACATTTAAGGTTTCAGGGTTAATTCATGGAAAATTCCCATTGGGACATACAGAAGGACAAGATCCCGCAGTCGACCAGCTCTATGTGTGTCTATCAATTCACCTGCTAGATTGGATCTAAGTATATCGGTTGTTCAACTCAATTAATTTTCCAAAAGGGTGCAAGAACTCTATCCTGCATAGTAGCTATGAAGAGGTAGAAGTGGAGCAATAAGAATAGCGATCATTGAACATCTGATCGATAATGATCACACCGTCCCCCCATATCTCTACAACCTCCGCCTTTAAAGTCATCTACAAGGCGAAATATAATTTGTCCAAATCCCTATGTATCTGACTCATGTGTACTGCTGAAGCTTTAGTCATTGAGACAGAAAAGCCAACTTGGCTCTACTTATTTTTCTGTTTCGTTTATTCAATTTGTATACTCTTCCCTTATGACTACATCGATTGTTACTATCATTATTATTATTATTGTTCTCACTCTGAATTGTCTCCGGTATTATTTCACTAGCCCCACGTTTCATTCTGAATCAATTTCGTTTTGAAACATTAAATTCGGTGTTATCAAATTTCACACAATATAAAGTAACGTTTTTATTGTTGTTTTTTTTAAAATAATTCTATTTCCCTAATAATGCTATAATTTCACAACCTTCATACATCCTGTGAATTGTCTGATATCTGGCTTTATTTGTTTTGCCACTTCACATTTAACTATGATTATAATCACAAATATTTTTTAAGTGCATTTCATACTACTACTACTAATACTATTATTATTATTATTTTGTGTATTCACACTTACGATTCAATTCCCTCACGGGATATAATTTCTTAAAAAAAAACCATATATATATATATATATATACGATTGTAGAGCTTGATAAAAAAATTCGTTGAAAAAAAAACAGTCTCTCCGCTGTTTCAGAGTTAATCACTCAAAGAACTGTGGAAGAACCTATGGAAGAGAAAATAACTTACAGTACTCATTTCACTGAAGAGTGATGAATGACACTATACCAAAACTCCACACTAAGGTTAGAGTATTTTGCAAGGGTTATACTTAATTTAAAAGTTACGATAACTAGATGACAAGCATATTAATATATGTGTAAAACTTGGGCACTGTGGTTGCAAGTAGTCCCATATTAGTTTGTTTATCAGATCTATCACACGGTCTGTGAAACAGTATTACTGTTTACTGGGTGATAAGGTTTCGAACACAATCTATGATTATTCATTATCATATCACACATTATCATCACACAACTTCGAAACTTGAGTTTTAATAGTTTTATTTGTTCTCTCCTATTCGTCGTCGTTGGGTAAGTAGAATTTTCTAGATGTCCGGCTGGACAGGTGTTGAATCATTCCTATTACACGTATTTTCATTCCGTTGATTCGATAAACAAAGCTTCTGTTATCAATCCCTCCCTCCATCCAGCTGTGACATTAGATTTTAAAACTGTCACATTATCCCATCCATCCTATTGTATGGTTGTGTGTAACTGCATGTAGTGAGTAGTATAGCTGAACTATTCTCCAGATTTCCAATGTTATACGGGTCAACCAATCTAGATTTTGATAGGGTTTTATGCTCGGCTAGTTTGACTGATTGGCCCTGTTCTACTACTTTAATCTATGTATTTCACCCGAGAACTATTCAAACAGGGTATTGGATAAACTAAATTGTTTTGTTTTAAAGGCTATCAGTGTAAATAGGTTTGGTGAAATGTTTCAATAACAAAGCGCAGAAACTAAGTAGTACCGAGAAAAATCTAAGACAGGAGTAGTGCATATTATAGAAGCCTTGATACTTAATAATTACCCTGATAAATTAGTCAGAAAGTATGCAGGGAAATGCAAAATAAAGTCAATGGTAGTAGTGATAGTGATAATAGTAATAACAATTATGACATGCATGTCAAACATACAAAGCCCAATGACAACGCCAACAATAAGGAATCTAAATCATCCGTGGTAATTCCATACAATGAAGGAACCTCGAAAACCTTATGGAGAATTCTTAACAATACAAGAAGGAATAAAAGTGACTGGCATTCAAGCCACCCACAAACTCAATTAGAAACAAGCTTTGTCGGTTAAAGGATCAGTCCTGTGGAGCCGTTAAAACAAAACAATTTAGTTTATCCAATACCCTGTTTGAATAGTTCTCGGGTGAAATACATAGATTAAAGTAGTAGAACAGGGCCAATCAGTCAAACTAGCCGAGCATAAAACCCTATCAAAATCTAGATTGGTTGACCCGTAAAACATTGGAAATCTGGAGAATAGTTCAGCTATACTACTCACTACATGCAGTTACACACAACCATACAATAGGATGAATTGAATTCTTGGTTTTCCCGTCGATTGATTGGACCGAAGTGCTCGGTCTCAGGTTGACATGTCGGCTTCTTGTGCAGATGCTTCGACGATGTCTGGGGATTTGATTTGTATACAATTGGTGGATGGTGGCTAGCAGTGGAATCCAGGATGCGCATTTCGTCCTAATTGGGACTCGCTTTGGCGTTTGAAACTATGGGCACTGAGTTCGAGCCTCGGTGGGAACATCATCACTCACTGAGAAATGCAGGTACGTCTAGGTGAAGAGTCCCAAATAGGACGAAATGCGCATCCTGGATTCCACTGCTAGCCACCATCCACCAATTGTATACAAATCAAATCCCCAGACATCGTCGAAGCATCTGCACAAGAAGCCGACATGTCAACCTGAGACCGAGCACTTCGGTCCAATCAATCGACGGGAAAATCAAGAATTCAATTCAATAATTAATATGACTCGTTGCACAAGAGGTGGCTCTCGTGGCCCAAGTGGTCTAGTAGATAACGCTTTGGCGTTTGAAACTATGGGCACTGGGTTCGAGCCTCGGTGGGAACATCATCACTCACTGAGAAATGCAGGTACATCCAGATGACGAGTCCCAATTAGGACGAAATGCGCATCCTGGATTCCACTGCTAGCCACCATCCACCAATTGTATACAATAGGATGGATGGGATAATGTGACAGTTTTAAAATCTAATGTCACAGCTGGATGGAGGGAGGGATTGATAACAGAAGCTTTGTTTATCGAATCAACGGAATGAAAATACGTGTAATAGGAATGATTCAACACCTGTCCAGCCGGACATCTAGAAAATTCTACTTACCCAACGACGACGAATAGGAGAGAACAAATAAAACTATTAAAACTCAAGTTTCGAAGTTGTGTGATGATAATGTGTGATATGATAATGAATAATCATAGATTGTGTTCGAAACCTTATCACCCAGTAAACAGTAATACTGTCTGTCTGTCTGTTTTCGACATATAACTTTGCACAAATGTGCGGAAGTTCAAGTCGCCACATTCCGTGTAGCACGCGAAGCAAGAGAAGAAAGTACAAGAAAAGCATAATAGAAACAGTGAGCAGAGGTGTGAGACAAAGGAGGAGTAATAACGAAGAACAAAACTGTTTCATTGGTGGAGATCATAAGTCACAGGGAGTGGATGCATCTGCGCCACTGAGAACGATTTTGAGCCATGTCACCAATTGTTTCCAACCATAGATTTTTACCGTCCCGAGGACCCCAGCCTGGAAGTCTACACCTTCCTACGTGGCTTAGACCAACTGTTGTGGATTTCATTGACTGGTGACAAGTTTTTGTTTGACCGCCGCTAGCTTTTTTCCAGCCTGACCCTATATCCGCTAACATAGCTCGTCGAGGGAGGCGATGACTTGGCATACGTAACACATGTCCTAACCATCTCAGTCGATGTAGCTTCACGACTTCGTCGATTGATTTCCCCTGTTTACCTAGAACTCGACGCCTAACCTCCATGTTGCTCACCTTATAATGCCACTTTACACGGGAAATAGAAGGCAGGCACCTATGATCAAAGACAGCCAGCTAGTCTTTTCATGTCTTCCACTCTCAGTGGCCAGGTCTCACAACCATAAAGGAGGACGGAGCGGACTGATGAGCAGTACACCCGCCCTTTGGTCGATAGTCGAACATCTCGTCTACACCAGAGTCGGTGTAAACTGGTAAATGCGAAACGAGTCCCTTGTATTCGTGCTGAGATTTCGTCAGAGATCAGCCCGTTGGGGCTGATGGTACTTCCCAAATAAGTGAAGCGGTCAACGTGCTCTACCACTTTACTTCCTATTTTTAAACTAGGCGTCGATGTAGTCCAGTCCTGTAACATTATTTTGCATTTGGCGGGAGCGAATCGCATGCCAAACATTCGTAGATTGCTGTTCAAGGTGTCTAGAAGACTCTGCATTTTGTCAGCGTCTTCGCCTAGAAGGACTATATCGTCTGCATATTCCAAGTCAACGAGATTATTCCCAGGTAGCAAGTCAATCCCTGAATCGCTGAAGTCACTTAGGGTTAAGTCCATTAACACATCTATGATGAAGTTGAATAGAAAAGGAGATAATGGGCATCCTTGACGGACACCACTGGTCGTCATCAGTTCAGATGACAGCTCGCCGTAAGCCCTCACCTGGCTGTATGAGTACGAATAGAGTGCCTTAATCAGTAATACTGTTTCACAGACTGTGTGATAGATCTGATAAACAAATCAGATGACAGGCAGTATCATACATGAGTTGAAGAAAAGAAGTGAGACAGCAGTCAGTGATATAAAAAGAAGAAGGAGAAAAGAAAACTCACCATTTTCAGCATACTCCATGACTAGATAAACATGACGTTCTGATTCGATCACTTCATATAATCGAACTAAATTTTTAACAGAAAAAAATACAAATTAAAAGTTAAAGCGAAATTCAGAAAAATTGATATTTTTTTTTGAAGGAGAAATACACACACGTACATATAGATATACAAATATTTTGTATAAGAAGGGTTGAACGCAAGGTTGAAATATGTCACTGGTATAAAGGCTCAATGTTATCAATAGGAGATATATGCAAGCATAACAGTACAGTGCCGTGTAGTGTACATTGAGTGGATTTATAGCAATAACCGACTGACATGACTGCCTGATTAAAGTAATAAACCACATGTAAAAGAAATAAAAGCTATACACTCCCCCACCCCCGCCTTTTGAGTTTGCCAACGACACTGTATGTTATAAAGTGTCATGTATAAAAAGATTTCAGTGTTATCCAAAAAAACCTATTTACAGTTACATGGTGTTGATAAGGAGTTACATCTATTGTGAGACGGCTGATTATATACTAATCAGGAGTGGTTCAAACCTCGTTGTGTGAAGCGGAGTTAAAACCTGTGACCGATTTGGTTGTAAGTCACAACCAGTAGTGTCCGTCAGGAATGCCCCCTGTCTCTATTTCTTTCCTTAATTTCATCATACATGTACTAATGAAATTAACCCTAAGTAACTTCAGTAACTTAGGGATTGACTCCTTATCAGGGATTTGATTTCTCTGACTTAGAATATATAGTCCTTCTAGGTTAAGACGCTGGTAAAATAGACCAGAGTCTTCTGAACACCTTGAACAGCAAGCAAGCAATCTTCAAATGTTTGGCAAGCGATTCGCTCCTGCTGTCCAATGTAAGATGATGTTACTAGACTGGACTACATCGACTCACTAATACCTTAAAGATATGCAAGAGTGAAGTGGTAGAGTGTGTTAACTACTTCGTTTATTTGTGAAGTTGCATCAGACATCCAAGGTGGGTTGATCACTGACAAAATCTCAGTGCGGATACAGAAGGCTCGTTTGAAACTTGACAACAAACGCCATCTCGGGTTTAATAGACATGATATGTGACTATCGACCGAAGGACGTGTGTATTGCACAGAAGTTACCTCCGCCCTCCTTTAATGGCTGTCGGTGAGACATGGCCATTGAAAGTGGAAGGCATAAAAACTGGCTAGATGTTTTCGGTCACAGATGCCTTGTATCTGTCTCCCGTGTTCGGTGTAATAAGGCGAGTAATATTGAGGTAAGGCATCGATCGAGTGCTAGGTAAGGAGGGGAAATCAATCGACGAGGTTATGAAGCAGCTGCATCGATTGAGTGAAATGGTCAGGACATATGTTACGCATGCATGTCTAGCCATCGATAGCATTCCTCAACGACGGGGAGTGTCAGCTGACTGACATAGGATCGATCCAGCTTGGAAAAGAGATAGCTAGTGGTGGTCAACAACAACAATAGTGTGAGTCAGCCAATGTGAATTTTACCTTGTACTAAACAGTGAACTTCATATTTGTGTCACCAGACTAGAAATCTTAGTGGGTAAAGTGGGAAATAAACACCAAGTGTGTACTAACATCACCACCACTACCACGACCGACGGAAAACTTACTATGTCTATATAAAATGTAAAGTTGTTCATCCTCAAAATACAATGACACACACATATACACATAGGTGACTTTGCATTTATTATTAACTTAAACTCCTAGACATAAGGCGGTCTGATTGACTCTTCACCTATTACTTAGGCTACAATTATTGTATAAAAGACAGCATCTGTCATACAGGCTAAGATTACAGACAATTATTTTCGCATTAATTAATTAACTAATTAATTCATTTAAGAAGCGGATATAACAGACAGAGTGAATAAGGTAAAGTATGTACAACATATTGATGCACTATGTGAAGCATCATTCAATTTTTTATATCATAATTTTATGAATAGGAATAGAAATGATTAAAACAAAAGGAAGAAGGAAATCAATCAACAAAACACTGAATGAGTGAAGGGGGATGATCTTTATTCATGCATATAATCCATAGATGGTAGGTAGAGGCATTCAATGACCAGTTTTATACCATATTCTATGTATTTTATTATACTTTTGGTTACAATTCAAAATATTAAGTTCTAAGGTAAGCAAGTGATAGAGTGTGTTAACCACTTCACTTATTTGAGAAGTTGTATCAACCAGTACCGACGAGTCGATCACTGATGAAATTTCAGCACGTGATATCCAACTGGATATAAACCATAGGGTGTGAGTACAACTCATCAGTCCGGTCTGTCCTAAGTTATGGTTGTCAGTGAAACATGGCCAGTGAGAGTGGAAGACATGAAAAGACTAGCTGTATTTGATCATAAGTGCCTGCGCTCTATTTCCCGTGTAAAGTGGCATAATAAGGTGAGCAACATTGAAGTTAGGCGTCGAGTTCTAGGTTAACAGGGGAAATCAATCGACGAAGTCGTGAAGTTACAAAGACTTAGATGGTTAGGACATGTGATGCGTATGCCAAGCCATCGCCTCCCTCGACGAGCAATGTTAGCGGATATAGGGTCAGGCTGGAAAAAAGTTAGCGCCGTTCAAACAAAAACTTGTCACCAGTCAATGAAATCCACAACAGTTGGTCTAAGCCACGTAGGAAGGTGTAGACTTCCAGGCTGGGGTCCTCGGGACGGTAAAAATCTATGGTTGGAAACAATTGGTGACATGGCTCAAAATCGTTCTCAGTGGCGCAGATGCATCCACTCCCTGTGACTTATGATCTCCACCAATGAAACAGTTTTGTTCTTCGTTATTACTCCTCCTTTGTCTCACACCTCTGCTCACTGTTTCTATTATGCTTTTCTTGTACTTTCTTCTCTTGCTTCGCGTGCTACACGGAATGTGGCGACTTGAACTTCCGCACATTTGTGCAAAGTTATATGTCGAAAACAGACAGAGACAGACAAATGAAGTGCTTCTGATAGTAGACGTTCTTTGTGATTTCTGAATTTTTTCTAGATTATTTCAATATTGTCAAAATCAATTTTGTGGCCTGATTCTACAGCTGATGATTTTTCAAACTTTTATAGTTCAAATGTATTTCTCGATGGTCAAACAGATGCTCTATGGTGTTCATTTCTTCTGATTTTGTAGTTATATATATGCTGAGATTTTGTAAATTTTAATTTAATAATACTTTGATAAACAGCAATATCGTATTGTTTTTCATTCATTAGGAAATAAAAGAAAACCTTTATTATAGTGAATATCATATAACCAATGCCCAAAGTTTTTTTAAACTATTAAAACTATTAACTAATCACCAATATAAGACAAATACCCTTTATGGTAACATGAAACACAGTCCACACACACTTAGACTTTACGATATCCCAACAAGTATTCTGATCTAAATACTAGTAGCATAAACGCTGTGCTGCCGTCATTCACTGATAAGATGTATAATGACGAAAGTTATGATCCAAAGTGAAATATGAAGGCTTATCCAACAATTATGAAGTCTCAGGTATTGGCTTAGGAGAGATTTTTTGCTTGATAGCATGGAGGATTTCATCATGAGCTGACATTAGTTAGAGAACCACTGGAAAACCTGGGAGTACTGGACAGCTGTTTCGTCCTAGTTTGTGGCTCTTCAGGTTGAAGATGAGGCAGTAACTCATCCAAGAAGAAGACATTGCGAAACGGTCGCGCTATGGCATGAATTGGTGGAAGGTAGAATTCAAGGACCACTGAATCGGGTCCTAGTGGCTCAATAGTCTACGAGCTTGCTAGCCTTGTAACCAGAAGGTCCTGGGTTCGAACCTCGCAGTGTGGGTGCGTACTGCTGAAGAGTCCCAAACTAGGACGGTTGAAACAGCTGTCCAGTACTCCCTGCAGGTTTTCCAATGGTTCTCTAACTGATGTCAGCTCTTGATGAAATCCTCCATGCAATTATGTAGTCCTCACATATTAATCCCTCTTTATGAAATTGAATAAAGCACGAACAACAGTAGCTTGTGCAGAATAAAATGCTACCATGATTGTTTTATTTCTCTGGCTTCTCTCATCAGCTGCTTCTTACAGCCTAGAGACATTATTATTAAGTTTATGTACAGAAACAATTTTAACTTAGTTATAACGCAAAGAGTTCATTTTTAAATAAAAGGTCAACAATGTCAATAATAATAACAATCACTTTATCCCAAACAGCAATAATAATCATTAACAGTGAAATTTTCTAGCCTTACGTCAAACACATGAAGTGGCTATGGGGCAGTCTACTTAACCCTGTTTTAGCAGATATTTTCATGTTCAACCTTGAAAGAACAAAGTTGAAGCATACGATCAACGAAAGAACTTCTTATCGTCTATGCGTAGATGACACATTTGTAGTGTGCAACAATAAAAGTCATGCATCCTACCTATTAGGATTTTTCAACGAGGTACATAAAAATGTTGGATTTACTATGGAACATGAAAATGACAGAAAGTTTCATTTCCTTAACATTGCCATGCAACGCCTGGATGATGGTAGTCTTCAGATGTCAATTTATCGAAAGCCTACATACATGGAGTGGATAATACCTACATTTTAATATTTTTTGTCCAAAAAGCCATAAACAAGCAATAATAAAAACTCTGTTCTATAGAGTCAAGAGAATATACACTACAGAGAAATTACAGGAAGAATATTTGATTGTCGAAATGCTAGAAAAACAACGGTCATTAGCAAGTACCGAAGATGTGAAGGCTCTAATGCCAAACAAACCAGAGTTGGAAAAAAGCCTATCTTCAGTCAACTTGATTTTTTTTTCCTTCACGTTCCCCAGTGGAACATACGGTTTCAAGCTAGTGGCTTGAAGTTTCCGTAGCAGTGGCATTTATTTTTACAGGATGAGGTTGCTAGGCAGTCTCATGCCCAACCTTTCCTCTTTACCAGCATTATTTCTGGCTTAGCGAGGTAAAGGAGTGCCTTGTCGGCCGGGTATCGAACCCCAGACTATGTGCATGGTCGGCAAGCGTCCTAACCTCTATGCCACCGACGCTAACTTGATTTTAAAGGTGGTAATATTGCAGGAATAATCAAAAGAAAACTGAATACGTCACTAGCCAAGGCTTTGTCCTGAAGCTAAATTGGCTCACGTTTTTATCGGACAATATGCTCTTTGGTGCAATCAAAAATCAACAGATACCTTTCTAATGTTAACTCCAACTTTGTATACAAATTTACATGTACTTGCGGGAGCAGTTACATTGGAAGAACAGTAAGAGGGGGGGCATATCTCCAATTTTCTGGACAGTGCTATTGCCAAACATCTCCTTGACACGGGTAGTCATGAAATGGACGTCGGAAAATCCATCAAAAAAATTATCAATAGGCAAAAGAGTTCAACATCTCCTCAAGTTTGCCGAAGCAATCTCTATCAAGTACCTGAAAGCCGATTTATGCGCTGTTCAGAAAGAAGCTGTTATCAGTCTTCCCCTGCCTTGGTACCCAGATGTTTTCATCCTCTCTTTCATTTGATTACGCAACGCCAAGAATTCTATTCTGTATGATTATTATTGCTTGGGATAAAGTGACTATTATTATTATTATTATCATTACTATTATTAACATTGTGGTGTATATTGACATTTTGTTTAGAAATGAACTCTGTGTGTTGTAACTAAGTTAAAATTGTTTGTGTACGTAAACTTAATAATGTTATTAGATAGTTGGAGGCAATCGGCCACAGGAAGCCTTGCTCGACCTAGGTTTCGTGCTAGTTGGCATTCGCCAGTCAGCAAGGCGTAACTGCAACCTTAAAGGAACTCATGTTCCTTCTGAGATTCGAACCCGCCTCACTTAGTCAGAGACTTTACCACAGAGCTATTTGGGCTCGCGAATGACCTCCTTTAAGACCGTAGTGGGTATTTTCATTGGACACTAGAAACTAGTGTGACGTGTCTAGTCCTTTCTTTGGTGCAGACTGAATTCTATCTGTCAGGTTTTGCAATGTGGCCACCTAGAATGTGACGAGCTACCTAGTGGAATAGTGGCCACATTGCAAACCTGATTGATAGAATTCAATCTGCACCGAATAAAGGACTAGACACGTCACACTAGTTACTAGTGTCCAATCAAAATACTTAATATCTTTAGGCTGTAAGCAGCAGCTGATGAGGCAAGCCAGAGAAATAAACAATCATGGTAGCATTTTTTTCTGCACAAGCTACTGTTGTTCTTGCTTTATTCAAATTATGAAGTCTAAAACTCTGTCACTTGATCATAAATTGATAGATTGGTTCCAGTTACAAATTTTAAAAGTCAATTAATTATGCACACACAGACACAGATACAAAATAAAACTGATAGTTAGAAGAAACACTTATTGCAACGTACAAAACTTCAACTTCGAACATTGAACAATGATGAAGTATCAGTCGACTGCTGCCTTTAGGCGCGTATATCCCACCGTGATACATGCATAGAAGTGAAATATAACAAAAGGGACATGTTGTGTTTGTTGTAGGGTTGTAGGGTTTTTGCATAACTAACAAATAAAACCCATGCTTAAGCTGATATATAGAAAATGATAAAAACCCATTGTGGATGTTCTTCACAGGCAGAACAAAATTTTTGTGAATATAGCAGTATCAATATGTAAACAAAGAGAAGAGTCCAACAACAGAAGAAAAAACACCCTGTTAAAATCAAAAAAAGACAAAAACCTTTCAATTTTTTTCATCTTTTAATAATCTTACCAATATTTGGATGATTCAGCATTTTCATAATATTCACTTCTCGGAATAACTGTTGTGTTATAAAGAACAAAAGACAATGACAAAAAGTAATAATGAAATTATAGTATACTATGAAAATGAACCCATTAGAAATTTTAAAAAAACCTAAAACCTAAAAAAATACGAAATGAAATGTTACTTAACACAACCAGTTGTATTTTTACTTCAGCTGGCAATAAATCCCATCTATATGTCGGGTACTGAGGTGGTGATTCGGACGCATACACCTAGTGCTTGAAAGCTGAGAGTAGCTCGATTCGCATATGCCAGTTTAAGTCGTCTCTGGCTAAGTAGACGTGATATCCGGTTGGGTATCCAGCAAAAGGCATATGTACTGCTAAGCCGTTCACTCCGTCCTAATTTATGGCTGTCAGTGAGACCTGGCCATTGAGAGTGGAAGACATGGAAAGGCCCACTAGCTTTCTTTGATCATAGGTACTTGCGTTTTATCTCCCGTGTGAGGTGGTATGACAAGGTGAGCAATATCGAGGTAAGGCATTAGTCGAGTGTTGGGTAAGGAGGGGAAATCAATCGACGAGGCTGTGAAGCAATTACATCGATTGAGAGAGATGATTAGGACATGTGTTACGCATGCATGCACAACCATCGCCTTCCTCAACAATGGGCAATGTTAGCCACTGACATAGGGACAGGTTGGAAAAGAGTTGCTAGTAATGGTCAAACCAAAACATGGCCTCATCAGTCAATGAAATCCACAACAGTTAGTTTAAGCCAACCAGCTGTGTAGGTAAGGGGTAGACTGGCTTCCTGGTTCAGGTCCTCGGGACGGTAAACACCAATGGCTGGAGACGATTGGTGATATGGCTTAAAATCCTCGTTTAACGCCAATTTTTGTGAACCAAGGACACCGTTGAGAAACAGTCATCTTATGTACATACTATGGCATAAGCTGTCATCGAGGATAATGCTTTTTTTCAATTTTTAATAGAAATTCGCGAGTCAGAAGGTTGTGAATGTTTTTTAATACTCGCCAGAGTGAATAATACTATTAAGGGGTCATACTTTACTGAGAAGAGAAAATTATATGCAATACATATTGATGGAGGTTTCCAGTAGCCTAAGCTTTAAGCAGGCTGTCAGAAAATGTGACTGGCAAAGCGAACCAATACACGTATATGAGTAATTCACTGACATAAAATATTCAATGTCTTTAAGAATCATTTCCTTAGGATCATATATCGTAATTCTCCAATCATAAAGAACAATATATTTGTCAATCTGGGGAATTCTTACGCTTACAACTCTAGCATAATATGTTACCTGGCTATATGAAGAACCTTAATGATTATATAAAGGAAGATTTATTTCGATAGAGTAAGAAAGACCAGATTTGCAGTATAAAATCATATAATTCTACTTCTCTGATCTATTGCCATTACCGGAAACAGAGATGAAGCGCCTACTAATTATTTGCACAAAAGATATACAATTTATATTCAACAAGCGATTTTACCAACGAATTCATGGGATCGTCACTGGTTCAGCTATGGAACCTATTCTAGCCGATATCTTCATGGGTTATCTCGAACAGACGCGACTGAGTGATGCTATCAACGAAACAACATACTATCGTCGATATGTCGATGATACGTTTTTTGTCTGTAACGACATGATTCAGACATCCGTATTAGTTCACCGTCTTAATCAGATCCACCCAAACATTAAATTCACCATAGAATATACATACAACGACGAGTTCAATTTCCTGGACTTAAGTGTAAAAAAGAGAAACTATGGAAAGGTTGAAAAGTCCATCTACAGAAAAAAAAACCTGAACTGAACCATATCTTCACTACAACAGCTTCTGCCCTATGAGCTATAAAGCGGGGATTAGTAAGGATACTCATTGTCAGGAAGTTATGTTCGCCTAACAAGATAGAAGAAGAATTAAGCGTTGTTGAAAAATGCCTTAAGGAAAACGGGTATTCGAAAGGATTTATCCTAAAGTGCAGCAAATAAAAGACGAGAGAGAGAGAAGTATCCAACAGTTGAAAAGAAGAAAGCGTTCATTTGCCTCCCCCCATTCAAAGGAGAAGCAGTATCACAAAAGATTGAAAACAGGATGAAAGGAGCATTAAAAAGATGTTTCCCTGCAGCTAGGCGGGTGACGTTATACAGTACTACATGCTCTATAAGCCAGTCGAAACTGGATAAGCAACCTGATGATTTTATAAATTTATGTGCACCTGCAGCAGCAAGCACATTGGAATGACAGAAAGAAAGGCTTCTATCCGGTTTTCAGAGCATATTCCAAGAAACCTATGCTTAGAAGAAAGCAGATATTTACTAAGTGCAATTACCAGACACCCAACCCTGTGGATACGGGTCATTTTGTCGAGATTTCCAAATCCTTCAAAATATTAAACATACAAAGGACAAGGAATTTACTACGATTTGCTGTTGAAACAATCACACCAAACTTATGCACGCAGAAAGAGAGTGTAGTGGATCTTTCACTGCCTTGGTAACCGTATTACTTTCATTACACTGATAAGTCATACACACTAGTGAGCTAAGCTCACTAAGCAAGTTTTCAATTTGATGAACTTTAACCTTCTTGAGTTGCTATGTTGACGTACAAGCTAACAATGTTTCTTAGATTTTTCTGTTTTCTGTCTTGTCTCACACACCTTTTTTCATAGTTTGATAGCATATAAACTGATGGTGACTTCAACTAAAAATTGTAATGCTTATTATTCCGCAAGTGTTCATTTGAGAATGTTTTCTTTATTACCTTTCATACATTGAAGTATGTTATTGTCATTATTTATAACCATTGTAATTTCAGGCAGGGGTGTGCAGCAGCTGATGAGAACCTGTGAAATAGAATGATGGTGCCATTTTATCCTGTAAATCTGGTCTTTCTTTCTCTATCGAAAGTTATCAAGGTAACCAAAAGTATGAAATAAGATTTACTATTGACACGAAAAAAAGTAACATTCCCCTTTCCTATTGCAATAAATCACTAATGGTCTTTAAAAAAAAATCCAATATTACTATTCAAGCATTGATATTTTGACGATTACATGTGTGTAGTGGTTAGACAAGCAGACAAATGAAGCAAATGTGAATGAAGGTTACTGCACTAAACAATAATTGATGCGTAACAAGATTGACTGTTGCAACCTAAAGAAGTCTTATGAGACTAATTTACATTGAAGAAAAAAGCAATAAATCCAGTAGTCGACGTGAACAGTCTAAAAATGTGGTATTTGCATCTCAAAAACTTGAAAATGTCATACTGTGGTGAGTGTGCTGTCTGTCTGCAAGCTAAAAATTGTAGACACCAATTTCCTTCAATGTTTACGTCCCGATTCGGAGTCATGACAAAAACAAACCATAACAAGGCCTAACCTTGAGGAACTCAACAACCAATCACATCAGATTTAACGTGTGCAAATACACGATTCGCAGATATACGGCTTAACTTTCTAAGAAACGGTTACGAGCAGTACAGAATAACCTTCAGCAAGAAAGCAAGCAATCAGAAGATATGTTGCTTCTTCGCTAACAATAACGAATAATAATGTTGCCTGGCCATTGTCTTCTGTTGTTATAATATATAATCAACTAACTGAAACACACCTGAACATTTACAAGTGTGCAATGAGACATAGTGTGGGAGAAAAAATGATCAAGCTTAAGTAACAACATGCATAATTGTTTACCACAAGTTATTTTTCCTTTAAAGATGCGTAGTTTCTTACACACTGGTTGCTTATTATGCTTACGGCCATTATCTTAAATATCTACTCCATAACTAGAAAAAATTAGACATCCATTGGCATCACGGTTTTACCTCGAGGTAATTGTATCAATAAAAACATCCCTGCCAAGTAACTTATTCAGGAAACAACTGACTACAGCCTAACATCAAATATTCAGTGACACTGTACTGCATTGTTGCGTTTCCTTTATTCTGATGACCACATTGGAAACGTGCAGAATAAAATGTAACACCGAAACGAGTGGCTAACCGATTTCAACATAGAACTACTTTGCACAGGTGTGCACCAGTTCAACTCGACACACTCCCTCCCTGTACCACACAAACCAAGACAACAGAATTAACACAGGTTCAAAACAGAGACAGTAGACAGAAGTGTGAATGATGAAGCCATGTTTTCGTTTGATCACTGCTAAGTAACTCTTTTCCAACTTGATCTATCCCAGATCAGTCAGCTATCATTCCCTGTCGTTGAGGAAGGCGATCGATAGCCAGACATGAATGGCGTAACGCATGCCCTAACCATCTCACTCAATCGATGCAGCTGCTGCATAACCTCGTCAGCTGGTTTTCCCTCCATACCTAGCGCTCGACCGAAGCCTAACCATCTCAGTATTACTCACCCTATTATACCACCACCTAACATGGAATGTGGGCTTAAGACAGACACCCAAGATCAAAGACAGTTAGCTGGCCTTTCCACGTCTTCCACTTATAATGGCTACATCTCACCGACTGCCATAAAGGAAGAGGACGGAGCGAACTGCTGCTGTGCAGTGCACACACCCTTTGGTCGATAGCCAGCGGGATATCATGTCCGCTAAGATAGAAGTCAAACGAGTCTTCTGTATCCGTGCTGATATTTCGACAGCGACCAGCACTTTGGGGCTGATGCAACTCCTCCGAATAATTGAAGTGATCAACACGATCTACTACCATTCCACTACTCTTGCCACCCTATAAGGTAGGATTGAGTCTTGTAACATCATCTTACATTTGACAGCAGGAGAGAATCTCATGCCAAATACCGGATGGGAGTGCAAAACAAAACCCACCAATGTATGAAAACCAATTCGTGTATATCTTCGGGACGTTTAATTCATGCTATTTCAAAGATCTACAAGTTGGAACTTCATAAACTTTAACCTTTTTTTAATAAAGGTCAATAAATACAACAGAATAAAGAAAACCAAAAGTCGGTTAATGTGCATGAGATGGGATAGCTTATATATATATATATATGACGAAAGCTGTAAATAACA